CTTCTTCCCATCTTACTGTATTCTCTCCCTCTTTCTCTGCCTCTGTCTCTGTCTCTTTCTGTTTCTTCCTCTTTGTTTTTTGTGGAACCATTTGAAAGTCAGTAAGCAGAGTTGATCTCTGAGTACTTACTTCAGTGTACATTTTTCACAGAGACCTCCTGTGCAGTGATACCTGTGTTCTTGAACTTGATTATCTCCACTAGTCTGGTTGCAAACTGAGTTGGACAAAAACCAGATCCAAATTCAGTGGTTCAGTTCAGTGTTGACCTTATGGGGAAATTTGATTTGGTTCTCATCCAGTTCATTTGGCATATATCCAGAATTCTATTTCACACAGAAGAAATTTAAGTAGAATGTTAAATATTATAGAGATCTCCCCTTGATAAAATTGTGAAGTCAAATGTGATTCCACATGTGCTTTTACCAGATTTTAGTTTCACTTGACAACAGTTATTCTACAGTTCACAAGAAATGCAGAAGTTTTTTCTGGCCAGTAATTTTTCAGTGAGTAATAAAATAATAAGTGGACTGCTCCTATTAAAATGTATTATAAAGCTGAAATAGTTAAAATCAATATAAACATATGAAAAGAATAACTTCAATATAGACAAATGAACTAAACACAGACATGTAAATAAAAAGGTATCTCAGGGATGGATTCTAGTGCAGAAGAGTATATAAAAGTCTATAAAAGACCATATTTCAAGTTAATAGAGAAAAAGGTTAACTCAGCAGGTATCTTTTGAGTACTTTGTATGTACTGAGCATTCTGTACCCAGAGAAGTGATAATGAGCACAGCACTGTCTCTCATAGAACTTTACTCTAATGACTATCAAATAACAAACAACTAAATTTTAATGTTAGAAGAAAATTTCATGTAGGTAAGAAGAGTATTTTTTATAAGATACCTGAAGAAGGCTTCTTTGACAAAGCAGTTTGTGATCAAGAGGAAATGAAAGACATCAGCATGTAAAAATCTAGTGCCGAGGAACACAGTGCAGAGGCTGTGGGCAGAGCCCGTGCCTGGTTGTTGGAGAACTGCAGCAGCCCGTGATGCGGGAGTGGGCAAAACGGAGAGGGGGAGGGCAGTCGCACAGCCAGGGCGCCATGCTGGAGGCTGAGTGCAGGGCAAGTGCGGCTGGTGTTCATTAACTGTACTGACACGGGCGGGAGAATTTAAAGCGAGCTTCAGGCTGTTTACCAGCATAACTCTTTGATTGTTTAAAATGGTACATATTTTTAAATGGTACTAAAAAGATTAAGAAGAAAATATAGTTAGGTAAATGATCCCTGAGTGGGAGCGGCCCACAAATCTCAAACTAAGTAAAATATCCACGGTATTTATCAGAGATTTAATACCCTTATATAAATATTTCACATAAACTCATAAAACAGACTAACTTATGTAACCAAAAAAATTAAATATAATTGACTAGCAGCCGTCTGCAAATGATGAAATTCTTTACAAGTCAAGAAATACAATAATATTTTCTGTTTATTACCAAATTAAATGGATATTGAATAATAGCTACTATTGATGAGATTCTGGAATAATGGACACTCATTTCTTTTGGAAAAGCAAACACAGAATAACTTTCTTGAAGAATAGTATAATAGTACTTATCAAAATGCCTTTAAATGTGTAGTTATTTGAACTAGTGATTTCACTTCTAAGAATCTGTGGGAAAGAATATAAATTACTAGCTATAAATCATTAGATCAAGATTAATTTATAATAGCAAAATAGGAATACTCTCAAATGTACAGCAAAAAGATGGATAATTTACAACTCATTTCTTTAAAAGTATAACATAGCTGTAAAGATGATTGTGTCAAAATGTATTAAATAGTATGGAAATACATTTACAGAATTTTAAGTGGACAAAATTGATTACCAAAGAACATATGATTCCAGTTTTGTAAAAATAGTATAGGTAAAAAAGACTAGGATACACTAGAATATACTAGGATAATAAAATTATATAGTGGTTACATTCAGATAACAGGACTTAAATAATTTTCCTTTTTCCTTGTTTTTCTTTTTTTATATTTTCCAACCTACAGTAAAACTAGACTAGTGTCAACACAGCCATTTTCCTGCTAGAGTGCTTCATCTCTTGTAGACTGTTTAATACTTCTGTATGTTATGAATGTGTTCTAAAATGACAAGTTTTCTCTACTTCCAGTAGGAGATTTTTATGTGTGTGTGGTGTCAGAGATTGAACTCAGCACTTGTGCCACCGAGCGACTACCTCCCTGCCTCTAAAATGATGAGTTTAATTACAGAAAGTATATAGACTTAATAGGAATGAGACTGGGCGATAGCTCAGCAGCACATCTCCTGTTTGGCAAGTGGGAGGTCCTGGTTTCAATTCCCAGTACCAAAAAGAAAAAGAAAAAAAGCTGGTAATAGAAATGGAAAATAAAGCTTGAAAGTACAAGGCATGTTGTAGGTAGGAGTGAGGTGGAATGGAGAAGACACCTATGGTAGTGGTCTAATAATTTGGCTGAGCTCCAGAGATACCAGGAGTTGTGTGAATCACTGACACTGATTCTACAAGAACAGAATAGTAAAATTAAACTAAAATAATTTTTGACCTTGGCTCTCCCTGAGTATTGTGTTGGTCACATATGCAGTTTCCGTGTGACATCTGTCAACCTTGGAACTTGACCAGCGCTGAATATTAGTGAAAATTTGACTCAAACAATGCAAGCAAAAGAAATGAAAGCATTAATATAATAAGATAAATTTTAAATGACAACTTAAATCTTTAGTAATCACTATTATCAGGAAATTGTATAAATTATGAGTGAATTCTCTAAATCTTGTATATAAACTATATTAGGTATAAACTATGTTGTTTTTATGCCAACAGTCTCATTCATCATCTGTTTTTATTTTATAGTCATACCCTATGGTATTGCAGTATCGACCAAGAATTGATTTCGGTTAGACCAAGGGGCCTAGATTTCACTGCAATGAATCCTGCACTATTTGTTTACTCGTCGACAGATTGCACAGTGAATGGTGTGTGGACTAGAGGGACACAATCAGATTTTCAGCATGCAAATAAGGCCATTGTCTGTCTCTAAATTGTCAGTTGCATTCATGTTGTTTCTATTAAGAGCAAACCAGTGCCACACTGCTCCTGCACCATCTGCATAAGGCATTCGTACTGTCTCATGGTGTGCAAGTCCTCGTTGGAATCCCGGTGCACAGCCGTGATGGGGCCTTTTGAATATTTTGCTTGCCTGTTCCAAGACTGTCCTATTGTTTAATTACACTAGTAATGTGGCTCAGTCTTTGTGGTGTTGCAGTTTTCACATACTTACTATTTTATTCTTGATTAAATAGAGTACTGTACAAGAATCTGAAAATTATATCTGAAGTTATTTTGTATGGAAATATATTTAGAAAAGTGGTTTCTGAGCCACTCTTATTCTTGCTACGCTTTTTGTGTAAAAAAAAAAAAATAGTTTATTCTTGAGTGTGCAAGTCGTTCTGTGAAGAATTCCAGTTATGTAATGTTGGAGCACATCATAATTGTCAACATCCTGGTCATCCGTGGGTCCACCAGCCGCACAGTGAAGGCATGTTAGCCCTCAGATCAGACCGTATATAATTTCCTGGACAGCTGAAAGTAGATTCACAACCATTTAAAATGTCAGCAGCTGATAGCATTTACTTCTACTAAAATTAATGTGTAAGTGAGATTCATCTTGCATAATGCCTTATGACAAGTGGGTGCTGCTTCATGAAACTCATTGTATAGCCCATTTTATGTATGTACCATTACATTATTGTTGTGTTTAACGAATACCTTGTTTTTCTTTTATGCTGGCCTTAGGTGTGTGTCATTGTGGCATGCAGGGGGTTCTGAATGATGACTTTAAATGTTAGGTGTTTTAGAACAGATGACATTAGCCACTTTATGGATTTCAAATGTCTCAAAACAGTTGTAGGTTAAAAATGTTAGTTACCACATTTCCAAAACATATTCATAAAATAGTATACAGTTTAGTTGGTAAATATGCTAACAAAAATTAATGGTTTGAGAATATTTTATTTTAGATACTGTAATCAGAGGGAAATTGGATTGTTTTATACATGACTATTAAAATTCAGAGCTGTGATAATTTCCTTGATTTTGCAGTTTTATTAAGTTTTCTATTTGTTTTGGGGTTAATCTGCAAGTCACAGAAAGTCTTGTTACCTTAAATTATATAACAATTATTTTAAACCTTTTAAATTTACAGTTTTCCAAAAATGTCCTTAGAAATTACTTTAACAATTACTTTTGAAACATATTTAACCTCTGAAAATTAGGGAAATGCTTGGAAATTAGGAAAAACTGCTTGTTTTAGAAATCAGAGCACAATCTATGTGTTAAACACATAGCTTTTATACTGTATGTGTGAGGGAAGTGCTGCATTTTCTAGTAAAATGTATCACAAGTTGATTCCTTCTGAATTCCAAATTGTTTCATAGAACTAAATATTGTGTAACTTTAAGAAACATACAAAATACAGGTCAATCTCAACACATTTTATCATATGAAAGACTTGAAAATTCCTCATTTTTTTATATCTTTTTTAAGTCAAAGATCTATATAAAAGCTTACGCTGTTCTGACTTGTGAACAGGGTCGCAGCAGTGTTTTATGTGTTTCTCTGTGCTGGTGGTTCCCGGAAGGGCTCACGTGCAAAATTTTAAATGCTTTCAGTAACTTCTTAAATGCTTTGGACTCCACCCAAAACTGAATTTATTATCCAACTACAGAATTTTTTTTTGTGAAATCCATTTCACTAGTATTTAAAACTTTTTTTTTTAATTAGTAAAAATTTGTCAGAACTAGATCAGTGGTTAAAATAGTGTTTTACATATGAAAGATAATTTTAGTGAACTCAAAATGAATCGAGCATAATTTGAAAACCAAAAATAAAACTTAGATATTTTGTCTCCCAAGTCACAACTTATGGCCATAAATAAGTTTTAGATTGAAGATCTCTTTACATTTGGTCTCTTGCCTGATCATATATAATTTCACAATTTTATAAGAAAGGTATAGAATTGAGAATAATTTTATATAAAATTCCTTTATTTAATGTTAACTCATTGACATTTTTATTGAAATGCAGTGGACGAATATGTGCCAAAATATGTAAACATCTTTCATAAAGAAGGGCATTAACTGTCCTCTGGGGCTAGGTACACTTTTTTTTTCTTTCTTTTTTTTTTTTTGATGGTCCTAAGTGATGTGGTGTTGCTACTAGAAACCTCGACTTCTTCAGCTGAGCTCGTGTCGTATACCAGCTGTAACTTTGTATGTATGGGACTTCTTTTATGGCTTGTACACCAAATTCCCAGGTAATTATTCCTTGTATAAGATTATGGAACTTACAAGAAACCAAGTATAGAGAAAGCATACAAGCACCTTTTTTGGTTAGCTTTATAAATATAGAGTATTTTTTTTAAAAAGACTTTATATGAATAACCTATTGTCTGCATCTGTTAAATTACATAATAAACCCAAATTATTCTTTAGTCTGTTAATTGAGCAATAAACTGAATTATTATTTCCATAGAAGATTGTTTTCTGTTTTATCTGCCTTAAAAATCAGATATAAAAGGGTCAAAGAACTTTAGATAAAAAGTGTGATTTGTTTATAAATACCACTTTAAATGGAGTAGTCACATTAGTTAATACAGAAATCAAAATAGGGCCTTATCTCTAATAAGATACAATAAGATACTTTAGTATAGAAAAAAGGTTTATTAATGACATAATAGTTATTCTGGGGGTTTGGTAACAAGTAATGGATTTCAGCTACTTCTGGAAAAGTATGCTATTTCTTTAATCCTTGAAAATCTGTCCCATACTAACATACCACATTTTATAAATGTAGTGAGTTTGCTCAACTATATTGTATGCTCAAGTGTTACATAAATTTAACTCCTTAAGAAAAATAAATGTTATATACTATAGTGAACTGTTCAGCTTTATTAACTATTAAAAAGAAAGTGCCTCATTGCTAACGTGCATTTCTGTTTTAGATTTACTATGTACATTTTGAGTTTTCTGTACCTGTCCCTGGTAACTTCATATTTACATAGGCACCTGCAAGTTAATCTCTTTTTAATAGATTTTCCTAAGAATACAGATATCACCAAAGATGTTTTGCTGTTAATTAATAACCATGTTGGAGAAACAGTTTGAACAGTTTGGAGGTTGGAAATTTTAGACTGTGACTTACTTTTGTGTAGTCAGGCAATAACCTTGATTAATTACTAAAATATCACCAAAGAAAGTCTTTAAAGTAAATTTTCTTGGTGAGACTAGTGTTTCTTGAAATAATCAGAGCACATTTCCTTTTGAACATGTATCTGTCCTGTCCCCTTGTGACATATCTTAAGTCTTCAAATGTGAGAAAAAGGTAAGACAAGCTTCCCCTTGAAGGAAAAATGGGAAAAGTGCATACATTAGAAAAAAATGAAATGTCAGTTATAAATTTTAATTTGAGATATTTTTTATTCCACAGAGGCAACATAAAATAAATTACTCTTACATAGTTCCTGGGCTCTTAGTAATATGTGAACTTTTATTAAATATAAATTTTGATAAAAGTCCTGATATGTTTATTTGTGTAGAACATAGTACCTTCTATTGAATTTACAAAAATGCTTTTTCTACATTGAAAAGCAAACTTTTCATAAGGTCCTGTGTTTCTTGTTTCTCAGCAGTTACTTTACTGTTATTAGAATTTTGCCTTCACATCCAAATCAGGCAAAATGGGTCACAGAACAAGAGCATCTCTTTGTGCCAAAAGAGATGCGCCTTGATGTCTTTTCTCCTGTAAGGTACACACCTATTACAAAGCCTGCTCAGAGGTCAACTGGTTAAAATAAAAATGAACACACATTCTGTTACATACTCTGAGTAAGGACTTTTCCAGCGAACTAAGCTATATGCCGCTAGAATATTGGTTGATTATATTAATTTCAGAAATGAATTAAGTTTGCCTCAACTTTTCTGGATTAGAAACACAAAAATTTGAACTGCTGTTAACATTATTTTAACATATTCCTATAATCTGGAGAGCAAAAAGAAATATAATATGTCTGCTAAGTGTGGTTTATGAAAGATTTAAAAAATACTAAGACTGAGAAGCCCTTTCAAAGCACCAAGTGGCCAATTGTTTCTGAATTTACTTGCTATACCGTAGTTTTTTAATGGAAAACAGGAGATCAAAAGTTTGTTAAAATGTACTTATATAGTAAAATTTGTTATATTTTTGACAAGTTTTCCCCAGTAATTTGAAAGTTTATTTGCTGTCATAGTTTTGAAAAAATTAAAATTTCGAGTACTTTTTAAGAAATTTTTAAATTTCAGCCTAAAGATAACCAAATTAATTTTAATTCTCATGTAAATGTCTATATACTTAGGCTTTTAATGATTCAAAACGGACTGGTTTTTCAGAAAGGCTTGTTAATTTTCATTATATTTAAGACTGCAAGTGAAACCGAGGTCTAATTATCTTCCACTCTTACAGAACTCGGTAGAGTAGAAACTAACTTAGTATAAATAAAAATTAAATATTTCTGGATGATGTAGAGATAGTAAGCAGGTTAATTTATCCACACACTTCATATCAGTCCACTGGAGCAGGAGTTCTGCACATCAAGATGTAATGGGATCAGCCAGTATCACTGGGTGTCAGTTTCTTTTGCTGTACTTTTTAAACTAGGGCTGGGCCTAAGTGTCCTTAGGAAGCTGTGGCCCGTGACAAGCGCTTGTGGGGTGGGACTCCGATGTCCTAATGCTTTCCTGCCTCTGGCAGCACGACAGTGATCATCCAGTTTTATTAGAGCAGCCCTCGCGATAAGTGAAGCTACCATACAGTATGTTGTGAAGTCACATTGCTAGTTTTATTGAAATATGAAAACTTTAAGCTTTTGTCAAAAGTGGTAACATCTTAGTACAAATAAAAACCTTTTTGTGGTTGTAAGGTTTAGCTTATAAATCATTCAAATTGAAGTGAAAGATTTACCAGGTCATTGTTAATGACTTCGTCTATTAAGAATATATGTATTTTTTTAAAGGAAAAGCACTTGTAGATATTTAATCAGTACAAGATATATGTCTGTTTTGCAGAAATAAATGCTGCTTAGAGAGTCTCTTTAAATATTTTTTATTTTTGTGCCCAAATGTATTTTCTGTTGATCTATGGAATGTTCTGTACAAAGCTGTATGATTGTATTGTTTGAGCTGGATATTTTTTTTTTAAATCTGGACTTAGCCAAATATATTTGACCATGTTAAAAATAGTATCTTTGTTATTAAAAATTTGATTGCATAATTTATTGTTTGTCATCTATTTAATTAGTAGCTATCGTTTGAAACCTCCATTTGAAACATTTAAGTACTACTGTAACATTTTATTGAGATTTGAGTATTTGAGGTCATGAACATTTTC